AAAAAAAAAAAAAAAAAAATAGTTGGCAGAAAATTTTAGGAACAAGGGAGACACTGCAACTAATTTTATAAATGCTATATCTAGACTCAAAGCTGACCTCCAGCAACAGCCTCTTCCCTACGTTTGATCTCCTGAAACCAACAAAAACAGAGTAAACTTACATTGGCATAAGAAATGCATGAGAGAGATAAGATGAAAGTTAATCCACTGAACAGCTCGACACAACATTTTTTCTGAATAACCATCGGAAAGCATACCTTGCATTTCAAATTTCAAGAATATTTCCATTTCCTTAAGCTGGCAGTTCATAGCAATTTACAAATACTTATCATACTGATTACCAAGTTACCACTCTACACTATCAAACTGATGAATTAACCCTCTTAACATAGTATAAACACAATGCAGAGGGAAAGCATACAAAGATCAGTACAGTCAAATCAGAAATTTGTAGAGAATTCATGTGTTTAGTCATTAAACAAGTAAAAGCTGAAGGGGAACACCCACCCTTTCTCTCCTGTTCAAATCTGATTCCCAAGCAGCAAGCTCTTTATCCTTCTTCCTCGAGTCCTGAATAAATTATACGAGTCCTTGAGTATTAGAATTTAGATGGAATAGCTGAGGTTCTCAGGTATACTATTCGTATGCATTATTACATCCACTGTATCTAACGGTATATCAATAACGGCATCATATTTCTGGCCAAAACCCAGTGTATCAGCAACCACATAAGGAAGGTGCGACCGGACGTGGCAGGCCCACCACCATTCTGCACGAATGTAGTATAAAGAATACTCTTCCCCCATCAACCAGATCGAATATATTTATTTTAAATTTTGACACATGTATCCAAAGTTCAAATATACTGATAGTCATCATAACAGTGTAGCACATGCCACATAGGGAGCAAAGATTCAGAAATCTAACTTCATATTGTCTCTGAAATGCCAGTAATCATACTTCTCAGTTATCTTATGGATTACATCTTTAGATCTGTACTTATGAAATCAATTTCCTAGTCGATAAAAGGATTGTATCAACAGAGAACTAAGAACCCCAACCGTTTCAAAACCAAAATCGTAACTAAATTCGTCATCCCACATTCAGCACTGATCACATCATTACCTGCTGATCAACCTTAAAACACCCATAGTTTCATAAATGAAATTCAAGCTACCATGAGATCAGAACTACGATTAACACTCATTCTATAGTCAGTTACCACTCAAATCCCATTTTCCTTGAACCAGAGACCCCAAAAAAAAATCAAAATAAATAAATAAACACATACTAAAAAAATCATTTCACCTCACAATCAAAATCAACCAAACCTCAATCCTCGGATCTATACCAAGCAAAGGCAGATATGGTAAAAACAGAAAGAAAACAGACGAGATCTCGAACAATACGGAGATGTAAATCCAGGCAAATCCAA